ATTTGCTGGAGTAAAGTCAACCGTAAACGGTTTTTGACATGAGGGTAAGTGGGATGTAGAATGGGCACTAGTGCTCCTGCATCGACCTGCTAGCTCGTTGTGGTGTCACACCCTTTCGCGCCATGAAAGCGTTAGGAATCAAATGGAAAACAGCTGAAATGTGCAGCAGAGCTCTCCTCAATGAGCCATCGTTTACAAGTATTCTTTGGATTGCAGGCGTACCGCATGGTCGCATACAGCGCTGTCATCTTTTCCATGGCTTCGGTATTTTCGATATGCATCACTTTGCCGATGGTCTACCAATTCGCTGAGAACGCAAAAGCCCGTCTCACAGAGGAATCTGATTATTGTAGGGTAAGATTGTATTCCTACTGAAAGGTTACTTTCGCTCTCCTTCTCTACCCTCCGAGATGTTCGGACCATTTTGTCAAAGAGCAGCGGGTTGTTGTTTGAGGAAATGCGGAAACCACCATTTCCGCTTCGGGAAAATAACTGTTTGAAGAAAATCTATCAAATTGCAGCAATCTGTTCGGGAAATTTCTCGTGAAGTGATTGACCTGAACAAAGTGACGAGGCTCAATCGTACGACCCGTGCTGCCCAACTTTATCGCAGACAAGCGTACGCGGAAGGTAAGCGTTCTCATGAATCACTTTGAAAATCATGCAAGATATCATTTCCAGCTCCTAGCAACACGCTGAAATGTAGCCCAGGACCTCCTGGACCGGGAGGAAATCCTGGAAAGCCCGGACGTCCAGGTAAACCAGGAGTGCCTGGACTTCCCGGAATCCCAGGAAAGCCTCCACAGGCGCCGTGCGAGCAAATCACTCCTCCTCCCTGCAAGCCATGCCCAAGAGGACCACCTGGTCCTCCAGGTCAACCAGGACCTCCAGGCTCAGACGGAGCACCTGGTGAGCCAGGAGCACATGCGGCTGCAGGACAAGCTGGACCTCCAGGACCTCCAGGACCACCGGGACTTCCTGGAAGAGACGGCCAGCCAGGAAATCCTGGTGCTCCTGGACCTGCAGCTGAGTCATCCTATAGTGTTGAAGCAGAACCTGGACCTCCGGGACCTCCAGGACCGCCTGGTCCTCCAGGCTCAGATGGACAAGATGGAAAACACCACGGACCAGGACCGGTAGGCCCACCAGGTCCAAAAGGAGCTGGCGCCGACGGAATCCTGGACCTCCTGGACCACCAGGAAAAGCCGGAAGTGCAGGCGAAAAAGGTATATGCCCCAGGTATTGCGCCTTGGACGGTGGAATCTTCTTCGAGGACGGCACAAGAAGACGATAAATGTTTTGACGTGTCATACGATGCGAATAAAAAGTTTATGTTTCCTCGAGCTGTTTCTTTCGAGAGTATCGACAAACTCCTGAGATAATGAAAAATGAACACTCTATGAGAGTGCTTCTGAAAAGTTTTACAACAATGTCAGTACATCTGCGCTCCCACTGAGCAAGCAGTTGCTCAAAAAGACGGAAAATAACGTGCCCGTTTGTCGGGACAACTTGCTAGAGTTGTCCAGCGAGTGCTTTGGGTCGAGGAACGTGATGCACTTTACACCTTTACACCGGTCATTTAGAGCTTCTATGAAAAAATTTCAAGATTCGATCAGTGATCACGCAGCTATTCATTTGATATCCTGCACAACCCATTCGGTCCAGTGACTTTCACCTCACGCCGTGCCCTCAGGTTTTCTGGATCTTGTCCCATACCTGCTGTCGCGTCATCTGCTTTAATACTGTTTCGGAATATGTAACAACCACACGTAGTTTACCTGCCTTCACACCTGCCACTAGTGCGAGCACATTTCGCATCTGCCTGTGGGCATCGCTGCCACTACATAGGAGTGCTCAGTATGTTTTTTGTAAGGTTGCGCAGGGATTGTCAGAGCTAATGTCTATCAACTTCTTTCGATCGGATCAAAAAGCATGAAGATCTGTCGAGGTGTCTAGGCCACTCAAAAGTTAAAGGCAGTTGGCACGATAAATTCCCCAAGACGACTAGGATCAATACTCCTGGCAGGACGGAATTCCGCGACCCTGGGCAGGCGCTGCATAGCGGTTTCCCCGAGGAAGGTGCCCTTATAAGGGCCCTATCAAGCCACAACTTTACGTCCCAAACGCCCGCCACGCCCGCCCGCCCACAAATGGACGACCGTTCCTGACGCTCGTATTCATTCATTTGCTAAGCAAATTATGAAGCGAAGGGATTGGTATGAAGCGGCCGTGCTGCATGCATACATATACACATATGCAGCCGTATCTTCGGTAGCGGTGATTGGTAAGATGCCTACGGGAAACTCGTCCGAAATCGATTTACAAGTCACTGAGAACGGAGGCTTTTTCTTCGCAGGATTTTGACCGTTTCACTCCGTTCTTTCGCCATTTCCCCACTATATAGCGCCCTACTAGCATTTTAGGCCGAGCACCGAATCATCGTGCCAACTGCCTTCAAACTTTACGATTATCTCTGAGGGACTGTCTATGCCATGCGCGGGAGAACAGAGCGACAGCTGTGAAAGTGTAACACTCCCTTTCAAAAGGGCACGGGAGCGGGGACAAAGGTCAGTGATACCTAGATGACGTCTTCCGACTCCGCTCGCGCTGTGCTCGGAGAGCAGCACTTGTGTCGACATCAGAGTACCACAGCGAAACACGCACTCTGCGATAGAGAATATGCAAAAAGAAGAAAATTGTCAGAAATTCGTCGTGCCAGCACGAGCGCAGTCAAAAGGAAACAACTGGATAACACTGGTATCCCCAGCGAGGCGGTCGTATTCAGGTAATTGATCGCTGGAGGTACGAGGGTAAAAATACTTTCTATTGTTGCCTTTTCCCGATTTTCCCCTTCTATATACAGGGGGGGGGCAAAAAAAGTCATTTCGACCGAGTCACATATCAGCAAAGTTTTCGCTGCCCAGACAGAGGACGTGGATACGAGTACCAGGGCGGAAGATACCCAAGATGTTCCTCGATAAGCAGGAGCTGGCTCTCGCCCATCACCTTCATGTA